GGGGCAACCCCGTGTCATTGGACACGTCAAGTGCTGGGACGGGCCGGGTGTTGCTCAAGTGTTCGTCAGCCCGATTTCCAGCAACGTGGTCGATGCATGTGGCTTGGCGGGAGCCGTTAAAAGGTGCCCACCCAACTCCGACTGCCGGACTCGGACTGCTCTATGCAACCCGACCATTCGAGGTTGCCGCAAATTTGACCGCCCTTCACCAACAAACCCTCGCGAAACTCATGATCCTTGCTAGAAACCACATAGTTGCGCTGCTCCACTGCCTTGAACCGCAAGTATGGGCGATCCCGGCGTGGCAATCCCCATCGAAGACTCCCCCTTCCCCCTGACCGACATCGACAAATGGGTTCTGTCACAGACCGACGAGGAGTTCAAGTACCATGATTGGGACGAGCTGAGAGAAATCATTGGTAAGTCGACGCGAGACACAGACACGAGCTGAGATGTTTTTTTTTTTGTAATTTGCTATGCCACCGCCTGCCTCATCCGCACAAGTCTGATCTGGTCCCTAGACAACAATAAGCTCGAGATGCTCAAGCGCAAGCCATCGGATCTGCGCAGGTACATGAAATGGACGGCTGAAACCAAGGCCGAGTACGGCAGCATGACAAAGTACATCATGGTCCATCGTTTGCCCAAAACTTGGGGAGAGCCTCCGTTCAAGCCAGTGTCCCCAGTCCCTTTTCAGAACTCCTCGGACTACCGGGTCTTGATGAACGACTGGCCGTATGGACTCGCCTCTGGAATCACCCATATCGTCGTGTGGTCACGCACCGGCATCCAAACAGACTCAGAGACTGGGGACATGACGCTAGAGAGTAGGCGGATAGTGGCAGACTTTGTCGAGAGGTTTTTCGTTGCCACACTGGGCTCTGGAGGCGAGAACCGCGTGATGTGGTTCAAGAACTGGGTTGCTCTTCAAAGCGTGCGCTCGCTCGAGCACATCCACGTCATGGTCAAGGACGTTGAGCCGGCGGTGCTGACCAACTGGACCGAGGAGCTCGAGTGCCATCGGGAGAAGTGATGGGTGGACAAGCTTGGGTGGAGCTGGGACTGTGAAGAAGTCGGCGCGGCGAAGAGAGGAAGTAGCCAAGAAAGAAAGAAAAAGAGGATAGGTGATTTTTATGCTGCCCGCCTTTGCTTGCGGTTCCCGGCAGGTTGCTGTTGTGCGCCTGCGGCACCCAAGCCCTGCATTGCTGCCATGTTCCGTGCAGCCCCGAACAAGCTAAAGCCTTTGTAGGCACCAAAGGCGGGGATGATCAGCCAGAAGAAAAATAGCCTATTTCCAAAGAGCGCCACCAAGACGAGCGTGGCCCAGGTGACCCAGACCACATCGAACATGTACTCGGTAAGTCCGGGAGAGGCGAGATCCTCGCCGGCAGACTTGAGAGCACCGGATGCCTCGAATTTAGGCCGCCCAGCCCTCTCCAGGGTGAGCTGGCATAAAAAGCTGGGAATGGAGACAAGAATGTATGCCAATAGCGACCGCGACCTGAAGAGGAAGTGGAGGGCGAGGAAGAGGCCATTGACGACGGCAGAGCCGATGTGGAGGTTGTTGAGAGCAGCCACGTTGGACCGAGCACGATCCTTTTTTGCTTTCTGCGCCATGGTTGTGGTGGGAGTCGGTTGTTGTCCTTGTGATTGTTGTTCTTGTTGTTTGTTGTTATTGTGGGAATGGGAGTGGTGGTGGTGGTGGTGACGATGGACAATGTGTTCGTCGGTGCTTTGGATGTTGGTGGGCAAGAATCGCAGCAGTGCACGTGGCTTCCATCCAGACCCAGAATAGACCCTTCCATACAAAAACATCAGAGCACATCCCCAAAGCGGCAGGTGGAGGCTGAAAGCGGTGAGTCAGTCCAGAGCGTGGCAATTCAATTGAGTGGCTGCTGCGAGTCACTCCCTGTTGCTCTGGCAGGATCCAGCCACAGCGTCTCGCCCGCATGCAGCCAATCAGGGCAAGGGTGGGCTGGCGAACAACAACATCGCGAGGACTGAGCGCCAGGCAGGGAAGGCGTGCATAGGCGAACAAAAATATCTGCACTTTTTTGTTCTCCAACCCCTTCCCCAGGCATCCAACGGCAGCATTGGCGGCTGGCTGATATTTTCTTTCCTGCCCAGTCCGACGCTGCACGGAACCGACGATGGAATGCCCCTCAGGAGCGACATATTAGCCGTTTTGTGCTTTGCTTTGCTGCGTACTCGCCTGCATTTTGCTTGAGCTCCTCGCTGCGCGTGGCGCGTGTGTGACCGACGCCCTTCACCACCACCCCACGCTTCGCAACCTCGTCCCCGGTTTTGGGCCCGGCCTTTTCGACCTTCGCTCTCCCTTCGGCACACATTTCACTCGTGCCGTTCCTGTCCTCGCCTTTTAATTACTTAATGATATACCCGCCGCCCGGCCCGACAACCCAACCGCCGTCGCACACGCGCATCCATCCATCACCTGCCGCTCGCCCGCCACCGACGCACGCTTGCACAGTCGAGGACACACCGGTTGCCCTGTCCGTCCCGCGGACGACTTCCCTGCAGCAGGAAGCCTCGGTCGACGATTCGCCCGACCGCAACTGCTTCCGCCATCTCGGACGCGCCACCGTCGGCCCCCACCTAGCGAGGCGTGCTGGTGATCGAGACGAGGTCGCTGCTCTGTCGGTGCGCCTCCAATATCGGCCCCATGGCTCGGCGGTCTAGGTAGCGATCTCAACCTTCCACCTCCCGCGCAAATGTCGCGGCCATTTTCGTACTCGGCGGCCCCGGCCCCCGCCGGCGGCGCCCACGTCGCAGGCCTGCTGAGACAAGCCGTCTTGTACCACCTCGACAACCTCTCCAACGACAATGCCCTATTCTTCGCTGAGCGACTGGCCGCCCAAGACCCGAAGTCGTCCGAGTCGACCTTCCTGCTGGCCCTGTGCCACTTTCACGCGGGGGACTTTTTGTCGGCCTACGGCACGAGCAAAGACGACGCAAAAGCGACCGGGTCTCGTGGGCTCCACTTGGGCCGTGTTTACATATTTGCCCAGTCCTGCCTGGCTTTGGAGAGGTTTCGTGATGGAGCACTTGCGCTGGAGAGATCCAGGCCGCTGTGGCCCCAAAAGTCGCATCTCGGGAGGCACTCGGCCGTCAACCGCAGCATGACCCCGGACGCCGCAACCCTCAACTGCTTGCTTGGCAAACTCTACCGTGGCATGGACGACAAAAGGCGCTCCGTGTCGTCTTTCGAAGAAGCCTTGAAAGCAAACCCCTTCATGTGGGATGCCTTCACGTCACTCTGCGATATGGGCGTCAATATCAAAGTGCCCAACATTTTCAGAGTCAGCGACGCTCTTGTTCGCTGTTTGGAGCCGGACTCTGTGGCACCAGAGAATAGGGACCCCCAACAGGCCAACCCACTAGAGCCGCTCCCCCGGAAATCGGCGATGCGTGCTGTTCACAACGAAGCGATGGACCCTTTCGATCAGCCTCGATCCGCGGCTCTTCAGGACAAGAGCGTGTTTGGAAACTTGGGTGAGGGAGAGACGGCGGAAAACGACTTTTTTGCCAAGATTGCCGCCGCCCGCTCGAGGATGGCTGCCACCGCCGCTCCAAGCCAAGGCCCCGAGGGCATGGAAACACCACCCGCTCCATCTTCAGCGGTGGATTCGAACGTCTTCCGAACGGCCCAGAACTCGGAAGCACCGCAGGCTCCAGTGAGAAGGTCGAGGACGACGCATATTGCTGAACCGCCTTCAGCAGAAGGCCCGCCGAGAATCAACTACCGCGGTGCGACAAGACGAAGGGAGCGTGTCTTGGAACCGAACGTGGAAGGGCAACCCACATCCGAGCAAGGCTCGTCGCTTCTCCGATCAGCTACGACTGCGGTCTCGGGACTCGATCGAAAGCGGACCATCTCTGGCCATCCAGTGCAGCAACGACAGGGCGTTTCTGAGGAGCCAGGGGCCCCGCAGAGGAGAAGCGCAAGGCTGAACATGTTCAAGCCTGCGACGACGACCAAGCCGGCCGTCGCCACTGCTGCTGCTCCCGCTGTCGCTCCCGCGCGGGAAGTAAAGAAGGCCAGGCCACCCATCTCGAGGATCATGCGACCCGGATCCGGTGGGTCCAGCGTGGGAAGGGTGGTGAGTGGCAACAGGAAGCCAGTCGAGGAGAACAGTATGGACGTCGACCATATCGAGCCCCCTAAGACAAGGGAGATCATGCAACCGCCTCCCCCACCACCAAGGACTGTGGAGTTTGATGTCGTCAACACGGTTCGTACGGAGGAGGCCCTGAGGATTCTGCTGGAACTTCTCAGGCGGCTCGGGTCAGGATACTTGGCGTTGTCACAATACCAATGCAGCGAGGCCGTCCAGAGCCTCAGCTCTGTGTCGCGCGCGCATGCGGACACCCCATGGGTTCTGGCACAGCTCGGTCGTGCCCATTACGAGCAGGCAAAGTACGCCGAGGCGGAGCTGTCTTTCAGGCGACTACGTGCTCTCGCCCCTCATCGGATGGAGGACATGGAAGTCTACTCAACGGTTCTTTGGCATCTCAAAAAGGAGACCGAGTCATCCTTCCTGGCACATGAGTTGGTCGATGCAGCCTGGCACTCTCCAAACGCCTGGTGCGCCCTCGGGAACGCGTGGTCCCTGGCGTCGGATCGGGAGCAGGCGCTTCGGTGCTTCAAGCGGGCTACACAGCTCGACCCCAAGTTCGCATATGCCTATACACTGCAAGGCCACGAACACTTCCTCAACGAAGAGTACGACAAGGCCTTGACATCATACCGGCACGCGATTGCGGCCGACAGACGGCACTACAACGCTTACTACGGAATCGGGCGTGTTTATGAGAAGCTCGGAAACTACGACAAGGCGTACACCCACTTCCACGCGGCGTCGGTGATACACCCGACCAATGCGGTCCTAATCTGCTGTATCGGTCAGGCGCTTGAGAAGCAGAAGCAAGTGGTCCAAGCGCTCCAATTCTTCACCAAAGCCACCGAGCTGGCACCCCAGGCCGCGCAGACGAGGTTCATGAAGGCGCGCGCCCTGTTGGCTATCGGCCAACTGGGCGAAGCACAGAAGGAGCTGATGATCCTGAAGGATCTCGCGCCGGACGAGGCCACCGTACACTTCCTTCTGGGCAAGTTATACAAGACCTTGAACGACAAGAACACGGCCGTGCATCATTTTACGATTGCCTTGAGTTTAGACCCCAAGGTATGCAGCCGAGATTACTCCAGCACAGACAGAGACTGAACCCCCTGCGCGCTTGAACATCTTGTGAATATCCTTTGCTAATATACATGTCACAAAATAGGCAAGCCAATTAATCAAGAAGGCTATTGAAAGCCTGGAAGACGAAGACGGATTCGATGATTCGATGGTGCCATGATTCATACCTTTTTTTCAGGTCTCTTTGGGGGCGGTTGCCCTTGCAGCTCGGACGGCCATTTCCGAGTCACACACTTAGACACGACCAGATCACATACAGCGGGACAGGACCTCGAATGGATATTTCTATTTTGGGTCGGCTGGAAAATTGCATCGTCCAGAGCGTCGAGCCTGGTTGCTGCCTTATCGTCTTTTCCGTTTCTGGGCTCAACAGCAGACACCCACCCACGTTCTATGCCCCTGTTCTTTTGGGCTTCTTGCAGGGCGTTCTGGATTGGCTGGATAGCCTAGCAATCACGGGTGGGGTTCATGGGGAATGTGGGTGGATGAATTGATTGTATTTTGCTTATAAAGACCAAGGTCCCTGGATACGCAGCATGGAAACGGCGTTCTGGAGACCATCACCTTAGCGACGTTTTTGGCTGTTCTCTGCTTTAAACCAGAAACAGAAGGCGAACAAGGAAGTGGGGAGTGGCGAGCAGTCACGGCCTGGCTTGGGTTATTTTGCGTTGGGGTCACTTTTCTCTCTCGGGCCCGGGCAGGCCAAGGGGTATATGGGTACCTGAGCATCCAGTCACAACATCCCCGTCTGTACGATAGCAAGAAGCCAACACGCCGGGCATTTGACATTCAGCCATTGCCACATTCCTACGTTTCCATATCCCGGTTGACCTGTGTCCCTCGTCTCCTTTGAGCAGAGAGGGGCGTCTTTGTCGCTCCTGGTAGTCCCAACAAATATCGAAAGCTAGAAACAGAAGGGCAGGAGATTATCCCGATGCCGTTCATGGAGAAACAAGGCTAGAAACAAATGGATATTTCAAGTTCTGATCACTGACCGACTGGTCATTCACTGACCGTCCACCTGTGGGAGTGTAGCCTGGGCCGTGGATGTGAATGCAGGGCACAAGTGCATGGATCGACAACTCGTTGAAGGGACGCGGCTTGATGCTGGCAGAACCAACTAGATCTAGCGAGGAGTCTCTAGAGCTTATGGGCGGTCGTTGATATGTGAACCAACGGGAACAGCCTGCGGTAAACCCAAAATCTTGAACGGGAGGCTACTCGCGTTTCCCCACGCTCGTCACCGCGCCAGACGCGTTTGTCAAGGATGGTGATCAATTCAAATGCGGGGCGCGCGCGTGGCCGGCAACGACCCGTGAAAGGATGGTCGGGTGCACGGACCACCATCAATCAGGGACGAAATCAGCACCTGCACTTCCAATTGCGGGGCCGCGGTCACGAATCAGAAAATGCGCCGCCAGTGCGGCGAGCATGGAATTCGAAACCAAAGCGCGCCCACCCGCATTTTCCGAACAAGGGAGAAAACCCGCCCGCAGTTGCACGCTGCCAAAAAAAGCCGAAATCAAACGCGACCCGACAACCCAATTTTTGGTTGATCCTCCCCCCGCCCGCATGACCATTTCGACACCGCAACCCGCGTCAAAAGCCCTCGCAATTCCCAAAACCGACTAGCGCGTTTTCTGCCACCTTCGCCCATTAGTTCCCCAGTACCCCCCCCGACGCGTGCAGCCGCCCAAATCAGCCTGCAGCCATATAAAATCTCCCAACCCACCTTAATCGGTCCCCTCGAACTTCTCTGCTCCCGTCTCTCTTGCATACCGCATCCAACCACAAACCACAAACCACAAAACAAACAACGCATCAACAGTCTCGTCCCAGTGACGACATTTCAATCAACCTAATCAACTAAAACCTATTCCCATCTATCAAGATGACTGGACGTGAGTATTTTTACCCTCTTGTCGTCGCCTTCTCGTCGTCTCTTGGCATCTCGCCGTCACCGCCGCGTTGGTTGCCCGATCGGCATCCTCCCCACTCCAACGCGTCGCGGGCCGACCGCGACTGAGGGGTGGAACACCGATCACCACCGCCATCATGCATCTACACTAGCCTCATCGCAATCATACTGACATATCTCTTCTACCTAGGCGGCAAGGGAGGAAAGGGTCTTGGAAAGGGCGGCGCCAAGCGTCACCGCAAGATTCTTCGTGACAACATCCAGGGTATCACAAAGCCCGCTATCCGCCGTCTGGCGCGTCGTGGTGGTGTCAAGCGTATCTCGGCCAGTAAGTACTATTACCAACAATCATCACAGCTCTCTTCATCGTCGTCGACGTGTCCGCTGACCTGATTCCTCTCTTCCAGTGATCTACGAGGAGACCCGTGGTGTCCTCAAGTCCTTCCTCGAGGGCGTCATCCGTGACGCCGTCACCTACACCGAGCACGCCAAGCGCAAGACCGTCACCTCCCTTGACGTTGTCTACGCCCTCAAGCGCCAGGGCCGCACCCTGTACGGTTTCGGTGGTTAAACAACCCAAACCCGATATCGACTTGTTTCTTGCTCGGGGGTTGTTGTGGTGGTTGTCTCATTTTCTTTTTGCTGGAGAAGGCGAAGCGTCTCAGTCGACCCGCCTGTCTCACAGTCGCGACGTTATTCTGGGAATCTTGGGGAAATGGTCACTGGCGTTCGGCGAGTACATAGCACGGCACCAGGGAGTCTGGGATTCATGGCTCCCTTGATTAAACAAACAACTTCATGATCAAGCTTGCTGTCGCTATCTGTGAATACACACTCACGTTTCGGTGTCCTTCCCACATCGTTTATCGCCATGCCTTCTCACGTACTACTTTCATCACTCGACACTCGGTATCTACAGGTATTCAATTGGGGTATATGACATGTCTCATCCATGACGCCCACCTCTCGCATCCGTGTTCCTCGCTATTCTTGTTTGCCCTCCTTCTGACCGGTTGGAATGTGAAAGGTCCTTTCAAGGTGGTCACAAGTCCAGGTAGCACTTCCCCCACCCCCCTCGTCTATCCATCCCCCGCGGCGAGCCATCATAGATACTTCTTGCCGGCCGCGGCCACCCTGGATCTGAAGATGGGGCTCTTGACCTCCATGTTGACCTTGTAAAAGGGGCTCATGATGGCCTTGACCCAGCTCTCGTAGACCTCGACGAAGAAGCTGCGGATGGCCTCCTCGGTCGCGGGGCCCGTCGGGTTCGTGGCGATGGAGCTGGCCGACATGCGCCCCGCCGCCAGCGCCTGCTGCGCCGGCTGGTGCAGCAGCAGGAACTTTGCGTTTGAGCCCGTCACGAAGCACGACACGTAGCTGTTGAAGAACTTGTCGACGCACTTGAGGTACCTGCGATTTTGCGGGAGAGGAGATGGTGGTCAGTTGACAATGGTTGCGGCCCCCCTTGTGTGCCCGATTCCATGATGCCCAGGGGTACCCGTCACTCGATCTCCCCATCACTCAGAGAATCCCCGCCGCAGTACCAAGTAGAAAGCTCACATCTGACCCGTGTTCCACTGCGCCTCCTCGACAATGTCCAGGCTGCTGTGCAGGATGAACTGGTTCATGTGGCGGCTGCCCTCGGCGAAACGGGCCACCCCGTCGTTGCCCTGTTTTGACGTGCCGAACTCATACTCGAAGAGGGGGTTGTCCTGCGTCCCGATGATGGCGAAATAGTACGACATGGTCCAAGGGGGAGGTGTGGCATGGAGCGCCGCTGCATCCGTTGTCGGGGGGGTGGATTGGCGGCCGCGCTGGTCGTTGTCGGCCTTCCGCTCCCGGGCTGTTTCCGGAGGTTCTCTGCCGAGCGGGTGATGCGGTAGCGCACGAATTGGGCAGTTGCCCGTCCGGTGGAAAGAGGTGCGTCTTGGTGCTCGGTGTGACTGGATGACAGGCCCAAGCCGCCACTGCTCGGCATACCTCCATGCAGGCGCAGGAAATGTTGTGGGGCTGGGCGCACCCCATACAAGCCTGCGATTGGCTGCTTATCGCATCAGTAGATTTCCTAACGTCAGGTTTCCATTGGCAACTCCATCACAGAACGAGAGAACCAAGACTTCGAAGCTGGGCCCATTTGTGACCCATCCCGCCTGGACGGAGTGACCCCCAGACTTCGACCATGTTCGGCCCCTTCAGGATAACAAATCCTTTAAATGGCGGTCTCCTCTGGTGCGCTTCCATTTTCTTCCTTCTCAGCGCATCCCAAATCCCCCCCTCCTGGCTCTGTCGCATGACATGTCGGCAGTTCCTAACCAATTCTACCCTCGGTCGGAATGCAGGAAGATCCCCTGGCGTCTCTCGCGCTTCCAGAAGCTCCGCCACCGCAGGCGGCTACGGGCGGTGGACAGCATCGTCGACACCATCAGCCAGGCTCTGAGCAAGAAGGGGGAGACGCTCAAGGCGCTCGACAGGTGGAAGGCCGAGATGCCCCGGGAGGAGGAGATGTTGCCCAAGGACAAGTACACCATCTTCGACCGCAAGGAGAAGAAGTACCGCAAGGGAATTCACAGTACGCTGCTGGCAAGCATGCCCCGCGAGACATCGGATGGCTAACACAGTCACCAACCGCCACTCTCAGAGCTCCCCAAGTGGACCAGGGTGTCCCAGAGGGTCAACCCACCAGGATTCTAGGATTTGCCTCTCGACGCGACATGCTCGATTATCGGCGGGTTTTCCTCATGTCGGACATGCGCCGTCAGGCATCCCTGCCGTCGACGACTGGCTAGACTACTATTCCACACGCACTGAGACGCATGGCCCAAGACGGCGGCTATGGCTCAGCCTCGAGAACATCCCCGGTCCGACGCGGGGAACTTGAACTTGATGGGGATGATAGCTTGACTTCGGCGTCATATTATCGTCAGCAGCTACTTCGGATGGACTGCCATGTCAGCTAGGGAGGAAGGGAGGGCATCAGAGTTGGACCACATACAGGAGATGTTGGACGGCTAGGCCCTCTTATGGTATGCGCGGCTCCTCATCGAAGCCTCGACTGTGGTCCATCTATGTAGCATGGAAGGAATGACGAAAGGAACCCGTGAAAAAATCATATCTTGTGGTATTATCTGCCTTGTAATATGCACGTTCACGACCTCTTGCCACCAACTACCAGCAAGAGATTTACCCAAGTGAAAGTGACCATTGCTTTTCCCTAGCCTGACCCGTCGTGCTCTCCGGTCTCGCCTTATCTCAGGTGACCGCGGTCTTGGCTGTCCCTCGATTCCCTGGCGTCCCTGTTCTCTCGGTCCCTGGCCTCGCGCTCGAGCTGGACGGCGCGGCCAAGCCCGCCGCGGCCCTCGTCGTAGTCGTCGCGGTACTCGTCGCGGACCTGGCCGCCCGACTTGCCGCGGCCGTACTGGCGGCCTTCCTCGAAGCCCGGGTCGAGGTCGGTGCGGATGACGCGCTCGTCGAGCTTGGTGCCGCCGATGAACTTCATGCAGTCGAGCGCGTCCTGGTGCGTGTAGTACTCGACGAAGCAGAAGCCGCAGGGCGTCTTGTTGAAGCGGTCCAGGCCCATGACCAGGCGCTTGATCTCGCCGCACTTGGAGAAGAGCTCGTAGATTTGCTCCTCGGTGGTGAAGAAGGACCTGGTTTTTTATTTTTGTTGACGTGGTGAGAGGTTGCTCAAACTTCGCGGCAGCAGAAGGGTGAGTCGGGGGACAAAGACCTACAGGTTCCCGACGTAAAGCGTGGTCGCTTTGGCCAGAGGATCAACCTGTGGCTGCTGCGGCTCCGCATCTTCGTCGTCGTTCCTGCGACGCTTCCGATGGCTGAAGTAGGCGCTTGGCCTGTCGAGCCGGTCGATTGTGTTGCGTACGGGCGGCACCATCTTGTCGATTGAAGGATGGTTGTCGGAAGCGTGGCGCGGAACACGGGGCGCAACCTCGCGAGTTGGAGCTGCTGAGGTTCCTTTCCAATTAGTGTCGGCGAGTCGTCGATTGGGTCGGCTCTGATGGAGCTCTGCGCGGCACTGAAGTGGGTTCCGCCAACTGCCTGCCTGCGCGCTGCTGTCAGGCAATGCATGCAAGGGACCCCATCGAAAATCCAAAGCTCGGACTTGGTCTCTTTCACCACCGCGTTTTGGACAAATCTTTGGTCCGGCTTGCACATTCACCGACTGCCCCAGAAAGTGCCTGTGAGAAAGCCAACGGCCTGTGAGAACTTGCTGTACTTGCTTTAATATTAATCCGACGCGCTCCGCCTCCGTGGTTTCAATATCGTCATCCTGCCGACCAGCAAAGGCGGGCGGCGTCCTCCTTTTTTTTCCTGAGGCCGTCGCGCCCACTCCAAGGTTGAATTCAGCATTCGAGCATCCCTCATGTGCAGCTGATACCCGCCCCCGCCGTGCCATCGCAGTCGAACCCTTCCCGTCCACGATGGTCAAGATAACAAGCTACACGCCGGCCTGGCTTAACGAACCAGCCCCAGGCCATGGCTTGTTTGCACCCCCCGAGCTTGACCCAAAGAGGAGCTCGTACGCATCGACCAGCTCAAAGGGCGGCAAGCCCAAGCCCGGACCCAGACGCACCATAGCCCGTCGCGGCACCGAGGTCTTTGTCGCCAACGGCAGGGAGCTCCGATGGGGCGACCTCGTCTACCTCAAGGAGCTGTGGGCTTCCAAGCAGGCGGGCGGCGCCGCGGACAGGTCCGGCCGGGCCCGTGTTAAGCGCGAGGATTCGGACCCAAACTCGTTCACGATACATGAAGATGACGACGCCGACGCGATGTTTGCCGCCGCTGGCCACGCCCAGGGCATGCGCGTGAGTTCAACGCTCTGGACTAGCGTGTGGAGGACTTGGAAGACACCCGCGACAAGCTAACATGGCAACTTTGCGCGCAACAGATAATCAAAACCCCAGTAGCAGATGACATCAAGCAACTCGTCATGTCGCCACAGGCTAACTACCTGGCCGTCCTGACGACACACACAGTCCACATCTGCATGCTGCCCGACCCATCCCACTTGACGGCCCAGGACGCAGGGCCGCTCAAGGCCAAGTTCTGGACTCTCGGCCCGACAACCCACGTGACTTCAAAGTCACCGATCATGTCCGCCGTCTTCCATCCCCTCGGTGTCAACGGTTCGGCGCTTGTTACTGTGACTGAGGAGGCTGTTGTGCGCGTGTGGGAGCTGTCACCGGCTGATCGGTGGTCCTTCGACACCCCGACCCTCGCGGTGGACCTGAGGAAGCTCGCGGACGGAACGTCTCTAGACCAGGACTTTAGCGCATCGACCTCGGCCATGAACAAGGGCTTTTCTCCGGACTCATTCGACATGGAGGTGGCGGCGGCCTGCTTTGGCGGCGGGCGGGGCTCCGGGTCTTGGTCGTCCATGACGCTCTGGGTCGCAATGCGTGGAGGCGACCTGTACGCCCTGTGCCCCCTCCTGCCCCAACGATGGGCCCCGCCTCCGACGCTCATCCCCTCGCTCTCTGTGTCTATAGTTGCGAAGCTTGCGGCGATCGAGGACGATCCAGCCGTCCCCGCACAGGAGAAGCTACTAGCACAGCAGCAGCTAGAGTGGATGTCAGACTTGGACAACCAGGAGCCTAGGATTGTGGAAGGCTCCATCACCGATCCGACGACGGAAATTTTCACACGGCCATCGAGGCCTGGCGCAGTGCCCAAACTGCAAGGCCCCTTCGACCTCGAACTAGAGGCACTCGACGACAACGATCTGGACGTGGAGCTAACAGACATCTACGTGATCGGCGAGAAAATCGACACCGAGGATCTTATGATGGGTGAGGATGATGAGGAGCTCCAGATGGACGACGCTGACTCGGAGGGTCTGTCGCTATCCATCATCTGCCTTGTCTCTACCAGTGGACAGCTACGGGTTTGCCTCGACCTTGAGGGTGTTCAAGCACGATGGCTGCCCTCTGCAAGCAAGTCCAGGTTCGCGCGCCAGGTCCCCGTGGGTAACGCCCCTCTCCCATCCCTTCTCACCTTCCAGACGCTGGACGTCATGCGTCCCATGGAAGTTACAGCCGACGCATGGCCCATGATCAGCCCCGACGTCACTTCACGATACTCATTTTTCATCACACACCCGGCTGGGATCGCGCTGGTGTCTCTGGCACCGTGGGTCTTTCGGTTGGAGAGCGAACTCCAGGGTGACTCGGCAGCTGGGTCGGAGTTCCGGCTAGATCTGCTCGTCAAGGGACAAACATCGACCAGGGATAGGGTGTTCACGCACAAGGGTGCACCACTGGCCGCTGCGGTGGCGATCCGGGACCCCGACCTGGGATACTTTCTGCTGTCCAGTACGCCACAGGCAGCCGTGGCGCTGTCTTTCGAGGCGCCCGAGGACGAGTTCAGGCCGGCGATATCCGGCGCCATTTCGCCGTCGCTTCAGGCCTCGGGGGATGGCGGCGTCCGCAGCGATGACGACGAGGCCAAGCCGCTCGTTATATGCGAGCCTCGGCCGGCGTTCCAGCCGTCCATGGAGGTGTTTGACGAGCAAAACGAGATATCGGAATTTCTCAAGATTGCGCGGACGAGCCGCTACCAGGCGGTCCTGACTCACGAGATCAGGCTGTCGGCGGCGTCATTGACGGTGCTCACCAACGCACACCAGCGGATAGACGCCCAGACGGAACGGGTCAACAAGGCGGTCGGAGAGCTGTTCAGGCGGCTTCAGCAGCTACCGGCTGAGCTTCACGAGCAGGTGATGAAGATGAACATGCTCAAGGAGAAGATCGACAAGATTGCGGGCGAGGAGGGCGCGCAGCAGGACGGCGAGGAAGACGAATCCGGCCTTCCCGACCACGTGCGGCTGGAGCGGCGGCTGGAGCGGGCGCAGACCAGGCAACGCGAGCTTGCGGAGCGCATGGACAAGATCAAGCGGTCGGTCGGGCGGGCGAACAGCAGGGAGCTCAGCGACAAGGAGAGGGCGTGGATGGACGAGGTGCGCTCGCTCGAGGCGAGCGTGCTGGGCAGCAACGAAGACGGCGGCAGCGCGGCCAACGCGGGCGGCGCCTCGTCCAAGGTGAGGCAGTACAGCAAGCGATTCGACGAGGTCACGGCGCTCAAGACGGAGCTTGTGCGGCAGGCCGAGGGGCTTCAGCAGCAGCGGCAGCAGCTACTGCAGGACAGGGACAAGGCCACCGGCAGCAGCGGCAGCAGCACCGGGGACGACAAGAAGGCGGGCGAGGCGGTGCAGCACCCTTCGACGCCCAACATGAAGATTCCAGCAGACGTGCGCAAGGCAAAGGTTGCGCAGGTCATGCAGCTCCTCGAGAGGGAGACGACATTAGTCGAAGCCGTCAAGAGCCGACTGGAGAAACTCACGATGGCTGGCTGAAGAGACGGGGGGAGGGACAGGGATCATGGGAGAACGTAATGCTTGTAGTCGTGACACGCTGGGGCGTTTTTGGCTCGGCGGCTACCGCAGAATACAGACAGAGTTGGCATTGGCGGTTAGAGTACGGAACGACGACAGCCTTTGAAGCAAGCCCTCT